GTCCGGTTGGAGGTGGTATCTCATAGTTGACGATGGGCTTTGCAGCCTTCTTGAATGCACGGAACAGCGACAGGGAGAACTTCTCAAGTTCTTTGCAGTTGCTGAACAGCAACCTCTTCTCCTTCTCGCTCATCATATTCTGCGCGGTCGCCTCGAAGATGTTGTGCGCGATCATCATATCTATGCAGAATTGATGTTCTGTTGTAAGCAGCTCTTCCAGCGTGCGATATCGCTTTATCAAAGCCTGCCTGGCAGGATCAGGTTGGCCGTCTTCACCTTTCTCGGCTTCACTTGGCAGATCAATAGTACTCTCAATAGGCTGTGGGGTACCGTATCGATCCTCAAGACTCTGTTCTTGAACGTGAAGGACAGGAGTACGTGATCGTGCGGGATGCATTTCGAACTTGTCGTCGTTGAGCATGGGGCGTGAAAGCTGTTGGTGTTGTGGCGCAACGTTGTAGGCATTTGGGCGGGAGGAGAGTTGTTGGTCGATGGATGGGTTCACGGGTGGGGGCGGTGGTGAATAGTTGGGACGGGGAGGCGCCGGAAGTGAATGCGGCATACTGTGCTGTAAGTCAAGTCCGAGTCCGCCATTCGTCCAAGCAAGTTGTGGGAGCTCAATGCGGTTGGTTGCGACAGATTTGTGCTCGTCCGTTGAGGTTCGTGATAGCGCGTTGTGAGAAGGGTCTCCAGAAGAACTGCCGGAATGAGACGCATCCTCCTGGATGGTGGTGGTGGTGGAACCTGCTGAATTTTGTGAGTAACGTCGCGAGGACGAAGTATAGATGATTGCCGTCCCACCGCCATCAACTTCTGGCGATTCCTGGTGCAGCTGTGGTGTGTACGAATCCGGGCGTGACGGGGACGCCACTCTCATGGGCTCGCGCCTCGACTTGTCGTGTTTCGAGCCATTGGCGTCACTTAACAGTCGAGCGAGATACGTCTCTGTAGACTCTTTCGAGGCCCAATCTTTGTGCTGTGCAATGACGGGCGAGACCTGGTGCACCCTTTCCTTCGATACCGACGCCAACTCTGGGGATATAACCGGCGATTGATGGTACATGTTCAAGACTGAGTTTACGACGCTGTACGTCTCCGTGTTCAGCGTCAGCGATCCGAGTGTTCTATAGGGACCAAGACTGGCAGAGTCATCCGGATACAGCGTGTCACGCTTAGGAAGCGAATCTCCTGGCGATCCTTTTGTATCGTGGCGAGAGATGGATGGCATATCTCTAGCATCGTGTGTTTGATCAGAACTATACCCATACGATAGAGCCTGAAGGCCTGCGCTGAAGCTTTCGGAGTCGGGCTCCCATGAATGTGATGGCGGCTCCTCGCTGAGCATAATGGGTATTGATTCCCGAACGCCTAGCTCTGACTGCTCCATTTCAGGGGACTGTGGAGCAGGCCTCTGTGGGGGAGGAGCAGTCCTCTGCGGCGGCGGGTGGAAGACGTGCGGTTGCAAGAGCTGGTGGTCCGGCTCCTGGTGTGCGGTCGGCGGCGTGAGAACAAAGCTTCCTGGAAGCCCTAGTACAGGCGATTCGTCGAAGTCGGTCACGGCTGATGCTGGCTGCTCGAGCGGCGGTACCGTTAGGCTGGACGTCTGGAGGCTCAGACGCTGTTGTTCGGGCGAGGGTGACGAGTGCTCGTCGCGCGACATGCGCTGGCCCTGCGTCTGCGCACGGGTCTCATGGGATTGCTCGATTTCGGCAACGCCAGGCAGCCCCGCGAGTTGCTCTTGGGACTGGTCGAAGCTGCTCGCGAGTGGGAAGTACTCCTGCTCACCATGGGGGCCGGTACCTGTCGAGTGGGAAGCGGGCGAGGGCTGCAGCGGCTGGCGTTCTCTCGAGTTGCGCAGGCGAGGCGACGTTGGGTGCGGCGGGGCATTGACGACAGCGGACACACTTGGTCCGCTCCTGGCACCCAAGGGCGACTTCCCTCGCTCGCGATATCCACGGTAGGCTAATGCGGGGAGCGTGGACTGGTCTGTGCCCCGGGAGACTGGAGCGACAGCCGCTGCAGCCAGTACCCTGTCCATCCGGGTGGGCGAGGCGCGGTTGCTGTGGTTCATGGCGCGGGTTGGGGTGTACTTGACGGAGCGCGTCGACGAGTTGGAGTCGGAGCCGGCGCTCAAACGCCGTGTCGCTACGGGTATCCTCGAACGCGGCGTGTGTCGTTGGGGCGACCGTGCAGGAGTTTGTTCTTGCGCATGTGCGCGCGCGGCGTGTTGCATGTCGTCGGCGAAGGCTGAGGTCGCCGCGCTGGCAGAGCGGCCATGGTGCGGGCTGGTGAAGGCGGCCGCGGGTGGTGCAGCGTCGCTGTGCGTGTTGTCGAGAACGGGAATCCCGAAGCCTGGCGAGAGCACGTCCTGTCCCGTCAGCACTTCGCCAAACAGCTGCCGCCCGCTGGGTGCAGACGCCCGATTCGGCGAGGCCACCTTCTTGGGCGTCGACGAGACGTGGTGGTCGATGCTGCTCCGGCTACCATTCGTGCGGCGCGCGTTGCGAGGCGATGCTGGGGCGGGCTGGGGCCTGTCTCGCGGCTTGAGGTTATTGAACTTGTGCGGCCCGTACGAGGCCTCTTTGCTCGGGCGTGCAGCCGATGCTGTCGACGAGATCGAGGCATGCGCACGCCGGGCGACGTCGTGCGTGCCCGTCCCAGCCCGGCTCGGCGTCCTGGAGCGAGAGCGCACGGCAGGCGACGTCGTCGTCGAGCTGCTGGCGGGCGACTGCTCGAAGCGCTCGGCGAGGGCCCTCACTTTGTTGGAGACCTGGGGGGAGGAGCGAGTGGCCGCGGGCGGCGATGCAGGATTCGAGGCAGACCTCACGGCCGCTTTGGAGGTGGGGCGCGCGCCGTTCGTCATGGGCTGCCGCTGCCGGGCTGCGGGCATGTCGAGGCCGCGTTGCGGTGAGGGAGGTGCTGCTGCGTGCTCGGTCGTCGTGGTGTAGGCGGAGTAGTAGTGCTCGGGCGAGGTTCCCACGTCGTCGTCGGCATGGTCGAGCTCAGTCGACTGCAGCCAGTGTGAAACGGAGAGGCCGGGGTTGTATGCATATTCATGCGCTTGATCAGAATCCATATCCCATAGTCGGCGAGCGCAAAGGCGCAAAAGCAAGGCAGCGCCAACGTTGTCGGAGGAGGTGGGCCAATCTCGAGCAACAAGGGTTGCCAACGCAGACTCGCCGGCTCTCGCGCAGAGGGCGTCTGGGCCAATGACAGTCTCGAGGCCGGTGCTGCCCCAAGTCGACGAGTTGATATGTTTCAGCCTGAAAAGCAAGCGGAAGGGTTCCCGATACGGCGCGCTTGTGGGAGGTTCTGAACTGGCTGTGTCAGATCAACAACTGAGCCCACACGGTACATCTAAACTCCGTCGTTACCATGCAGCTAGGAAGCGGGATACCGGCGCCGCTCTCGATGGGGCGGCGCACGACGACGGCCTGGCCTTCGCATCTGGTATTTACATGGAGCAACCCGATATCTTCGACGTATGCTGTCCAGATGGTTTGGGCCAAGATGGAGGATCAACATGCTCTTTCGCGGCCTGCTTATCCATCCGTGCTTCTCGATGCCATGGGATGATAGCATCCCGCTTCCCCAGCCCGTAGCTCTACCAGTACTAGCGGATCGTGCTAGCCCTCGTTCCCAGGATAGCCGTGTTTTGCGTCCCAGGGGTAGGTCGATCTGTAGATGCAGCTGACCTAATGGCGCTCTACCAGACAGTCGTTCCAAGATTACTATACAATGGCATACAGGTTTACCATGGCCAGGATGATGGGGTTTGGCACAATGTGAGCTAGTCGCAAACAGACCTGTGGACATGGCAGCATCCATGCTATACTCACAAAGAGCATCGGGACACAAACAACTTCACTCAGGCGTGCAGCATTGGAAGTTTATAAAATGAACGTAGCATCTTATATGCAGCTGACATAAGATGTGTACCTAGGTAGGCGAACTCTACGAGGGACATTCTTGTTGGTTTGCTAGCAACCATCTCATGTACAAAGAGATGCTTGCGTACAACTGTTTGTAGCAAGCATACTGCCGTATATAGGCAGCTCTCATCTCATGTTAGAATAGATGATCAAATCATCTCATTTCTGCTCACATTCAAGAATTCTGACACAAGCAGAAGGTACCAGTGTCTCAAAGATATAGACATTTCGACAAGATGATGAGGTGATTTTGCTTTGACGACCCTGTAGGAGAGGGCACCAAGGGGCACTTGCTGATTCGGATTCCGCATCGTTCATTATCTTTCCCGCCCTGAGGCGTTAAACTGCAGCGTACATCCCAGCATCTGGTCAGGAAGCCCGACATACGTCTCGTGTGGCCGAGATATCTCTGCTTATGCAGATCTTTTAACGGAGTCGCGCTGTCAAATGCACAGCCAGTATGTGGTGATGTCGCATCGCACATTTCGTGGTGAGCATGCAGTGTCCGAAGAGGTTATGTCCAGGACTGCGTCGCTCCCGAGAGACATCACATCTATGGAGAAGGCTCTCACCTTCACATCCATCACGTCAACTGTAATGTACGACCAATCATTGCGCTCTCTCCCACTGCAAAAGCAGGGAGAAACCGCACCCAAGATCAGCCAAAGTATTCCTCTCCACTTCACAGACGGTTTTCGTTCTCATGGAGACCTCACACCGTCCGTAGACGACGGGTCTCTCCAAAGAAAATGCTTTTCGTGAGTGTGCAATTTGTTTGCGTTGTTCAATGAAGAGGAAAGGCAGGGACGGCCGCGATTGAGATTTTCTTCAGCAGGCCGGCGGAACCTTTGGCCGGGGCGCTTGGACGCAGCACGCAGCCCCGCCACAGGCAGGTGGGCTGTTCCGGATTTGGGTTTGAGTCACTTTGTGTGGGATTTGAAGTCGAAAGTTGCCTGCCGCCAGTCTCCACCACCGCAGCTGCTCGACTGACCAGTCTAATACCTCGACAACCGAAACCACCAAACCAGCTACGCCCCAATCCCCAAACTCGATCCCAAGTTGCCCATCATGGAGTCCGAATCCGACCACGACCACCGCGATGACGAGAGCATGTCCGAGCATGAGGAGATTGAGGAGACGAAGCCAAAGTCCGCGATGAAGAAGGGCCGGGAACCCGCGGCGCCCGTCGTGCGCCCAGAGCTTCCGTAGGTGTTGAAGACAAGAGGCTCTGCGCTGCATAGCTAACGCACACAAGCGAACAACCAGACCCAAGCACGCTCGACCTCACCACGCTGAACCCGCTGTCGCCCGAGATCATCTCCCGCCAAGCCACAATTAACATTGGAACCATTGGCCACGTCGCCCACGGAAAGAGTACTGTCGTCAAGGCCATCTCCGGTGTGCAGACGGTCCGTTTCAAGAACGAACTCGAGAGGAATATTACCATCAAGCTCGGTTACGCCAACGCGAAGATCTACCAATGCGATAACCCAGAGTGCCCGCGCCCAACATGCTACCGGTCATACAAGAGCGACAAGGAGGTCGACCCCGCGTGTGAGCGTGAAGGATGCGAAGGCAAATACAGACTGAAGCGCCACGTCTCTTTCGTCGATTGCCCCGGTCACGACATTCTCATGAGCACGATGTTGTCAGGTGCTGCCGTCATGGACGCTGCGCTACTCTTGATCGCTGGAAACGAAACTTGCCCGCAACCGCAGACAAGTGAACATCTTGCTGCCATTGAGATCATGAAGCTAAACCACATCATCATTCTTCAGAACAAGGTCGATCTGATGCGGGAAGACAGCGCTGCGTCGCATTACGAGTCCATCCTCAAGTTCATCCGCGGAACTGTCGCCGATGGCTCGCCAATCATCCCCATCTCTGCCCAGTTGAAGTTCAACATCGATGCCATCAACGAGCACCTCATCAGCAAGATCCCCGTCCCAGTACGCGACTTCTCCGCGAAGCCCCACATGATTGTCATTCGATCCTTTGACGTCAACAAGCCTGGTGCTGAAATCGATGAACTAAAGGGCGGTGTTGCTGGTGGCAGTATCTTGACCGGTGTATTGAAGCTAGGAGACGAGATTGAGATCAGGCCCGGTATCGTGTCAAAGGACAGCGCCGGAAAGATTCAGTGCAAGCCTATCTTCTCAAGAGTAGTGTCTCTGTTTGCCGAGCACAACGATTTGAAGTTCGCCGTTCCGGGAGGACTGATCGGTACGTGACGATTCCTGCAGACTCATGCACCACTCAACTAACACACAACAGGTGTCGGTACACGCGTTGACCCTACTCTGTGCCGTGCGGATCGTCTCGTTGGTTTCGTCCTTGGTCTCCGTGGACACCTCCCCAACATCTACACTGAACTCGAAGTCAACTACTTCCTCCTCCGAAGATTGCTTGGTGTCAAGACTGCGGACGGCAAGCAGGCCAAGGTAGCCAAGCTTGCAAAGAACGAAGTCTTGGTAAGTTTCTATCCATGATGGCAGATGACAAAGCTGACACTCGCGCAGATGGTCAACATTGGATCAACCGCTACCGGTGCCAAGGTTGTTGCTGTCAAGGCTGACGCTGCCCGTCTGTCCCTCACTTCACCTGCATGCACAGAGATCGGTGAGAAGGTGGCGTTGTCCAGACGTATCGAGAAGCACTGGCGTCTCATCGGCTGGGCCAACATTGTAGCGTAAGTTTCACGGCATATCTAGTTGCGCCCACGAGCTGACATCTTCATTAGTGGTAACATCCTCCAACCTATCGTCGACTGAGCGGGCATGGCGCGTAGTGGGGTAGCTCTCGAGGAGTGGAACGACAAACTTTACGAAGGGACGACGTAGACATAAGCGGTATGACGGCAAAACACGTGCATTTGGTTCCTAGCATTTTCTGCCGGAGTCGGTTGCGCTTGGAGATGGGCACCAAAAGTGGTTTTCTCGCAGCTGTGTTTTAGACAGCATCTCGAAGCCATGACAGCAGAGGGCTAGCGTCACTAGGGAGCGAGCGTCTTGTGTATCAGTACGTTCTCCAGCACAGTGTAGCCGCATATAATGAAGCATGTACATCCACTGGAATTGTTGGGAATGCGGATGACAGCGGGTCACGCAGGCGGAAAGTAGGCCGATCTTCACATGAAAGCCATTCTGTAACATGTGCAAGAAGCTGGCCTACCAACGTCAGATCTGCGTGCTAGCCTACATTTGCCTCACTGTCCCCTCACTGCGCGTTGTACGATTTCTCCGCTCTCAGTATTGCTTTGATTGCCTATACGAGGTATGTTTGCGAGGCTCCAGTATTATGCCGGTATAAGGCCAGCACACGCTCAAAGGTTCACGTGCACTGACTCGGGGTTTAGAGTTCAACTTGCCCTCGCTCACGTGCTAAACACCGCAACAGTTATACGAGTACGCGCATCTGATTGTGCGGCGACTGGTAGCGCGTCTGTCTTTTCTTCTTTACGCTCGCTGTTGGTATTACTTTTATCCTGTATTGTAATTGCAAGCATACATTGCAGCGGTCGACACGACAACGAAGTTTGCGTGACCCTGCCCAGGACGGAACTGAAGCGCGACGGCTATGGAAGAAGACCCTTCGAAAGCGAGAGCGGCGCCACCTCCGCTGCATATCTACCGCCCCATCCCGCGTCGCAACTTCGAATCCCATAACGACACGGCCGATTCGCCCACGCACGCCTTTTCACAAGCCACGCCCCCGAGCGCGACCGAGAACCGGAGATCGTCTGACTTCCTCGCGCAGCTCAATGCGCGCTTACTCAGGACCTTCAACTCGCGCGACGATGACTCGGAAGACCAGGAGAGGGAGAGGGGGCCGCCGCCGCGGAACAAGAGCTACTTGAACATGACGAGTAGCACGCTATCCGGCATATACGACGAGACGGGCGCGAACACGGCGGGTGAACTCAGCACGGCGGAAACGCCCTGGGGCACTGGCGCCGAGACCCCCGCACACACTGCCATGGGTTTCCAGCCCTGGGAAACGGGCATGGGAAGTCCTGATGGAGGACTGAGCTTGAAGACACAGGCCAGGAAAGGGTCCGCTATGGGCAAAGTCGAAGGAAGGCGGAGGAGTCACTCGGTCAAGCAACCGCGCCACGGCGTCTGGAAATACGTCGTGATCCTGGGCAAGCTCGTAGCATTATACGTCTTTGGCGTCATCTACGGAGTCATTGTCTCGCATCTGCACGAGACGAGACAGTTGGCAGCTGTCCACGTCGAAGGTGTTGATCAAAAGAGTCAGACCTACCTTGCTACCTGGGGGTTGTTTGGGGTTGCCCTGGGAAGTCTGCTACCATACGTTGATCTCGTGTGGGATGCGCAACGGAGAGAGGACGAGAATGGAGACAAGGAGACTGAGACGCACGATTCACCCATCAGCGAGCAAATCAATGATGTGGTAAGGAGCGTAGCAGCCTTTGTAGGAATCGCCTTCGCTATCGTAAGTCTCATGAACTACTTGACTACACACATCGACCCTAACTAACACTCTCCCACAGCGCCGTCTCCCCTGGCAATCAACCCTCCAACTCACCCTAACACTCGCCCTCGTCAATCCCGCTCTCTGGTACATACTCGACCGCTCGAAGCCCGGTCTCTCCGTCTCACTCACCGTCACGTCCATCCTCACATCCTTCATCTTCCTCTCGAACCCCGACGTCCTTCCCTCGCCGTCTCTACCAGCAACAACAAACGCTACACAAGTTCCTTCCATGGGCAGTCATACACATGCAAAAGGCAGGCCAGCACCGGTCGTTACACCAGAGCTGTTCGCTGGCATGATCAGCTACGAGAACCTGGCTGTGGTGACGTGGGTGGGCAGTGTTCTCTTTTGCAGTTGTGTGTGCTTTGGCAGTATAGGGAGGAGGTTGGCTGTGCTGGAGGAAAGTGGGTGGAAGAGGTGAAAATTGTTGTTATAGAGGCGTGAAAGCCTCGGAGATCACGTTGCAGTCTTGCGCAACTACGGCGTGTTGGGGTATTGCTAGACCTTGTGGTCGGCATGGGGCGTCCGGCATGGATCAAAATTATTGGCTTCACGTGAAGCTTTGGATGCCATTTACCGTTGTCATCAAGTGGCATGTACTGCTCACTGATCATGTCTCCGTCTTCTCGTGCTCTTACTTGACCAGAGTCACAGAGCATAGCTGATAGTGTAAGCATGTAGAAGTTGTACTTGCGATAAAACCTCAATACGACACGTCTTTATAGATCTCAGCCTCGAACCTCTATATTAGAACAGGAGCTTTTTTGAATATGCACAGAATAGACATCAAATCCTAAAATGCAGCCAGAAGCGTTCAGTCTTAATCCACAATTTCACCAAGTAGCAAACACTACGACAGCATAACTTGAAAACGAAAAAAAAAGGCAAAGGACTGTCATTTCTCCAGTGTACTAATCCTCACCCAAGCACCCAAGTTAGGAAAGAGGAGGAGAGCCAAAAAATCGGCAAAAAAAAAAGAAGTGTCGCAAATTGGCGGTACTGGGAACTACAGACATGTTAGCGAACAATGTCACAGTAAACCGACTCAATTTAAGAGGTTCAAACGTACTCGAACCCAGGCTGGCGCGGATCTGGATCGGGACAAGCTAAGTTGTCCGCCAGCCACAACGCGACGTCATACCACTAGACCATACCACGGTAGGGCTGTTAGTTTTACTGTACAGCAGGGGGGTTGGTTGTGCGGTGATGCTTACCCTTGGTGATCTGTTTTGATGGGAATTTTTGAAATTGGTAAATGATTGTAGTTGGCGAGAACCAGGGATATCAGTGAATATTGGAAGTTGGTAAAAGATGAGGGTAAGATAGTGGGGATTATGAGTCAAAGTAAAGGTATCGTGGGGACAACCCGAGGTGCCGAGTGGAGAAGGAACACGATTGGGGATAGTTTGCGTCCATAGAATAGCAGCTAGAATCAAACGCATCAGGCAGAATCGGTCGCTTGAGTGGAGACGCCAGTGTGGCTTGTGTTTTCAAACTCATTTCGAAATGTCAGAACGGGATAGACAGTGAGATGCGTAACGTTCGTTTATGCATTCTCAAGATACATGATCCTTCCATGAGTGTGCATATTCTCATGTTCATGAATGTTTCAAACACTATGGGCTGTGTCAAACCAATGGCTTCGGCCACTGACTACCATCTTACTTCAGGCCCTATCTGAACCACCCCCACGTCTCTTTCTTGTAGATCCTGAAAGCCGTCTTATATGTTTCTTCTGCTTTCGTACTCGTGTTGTATTATGCATACGATACTGGGCGAAACCCGGATACATCGTTATACATGAAGCTCACTGCGCCTTGGACAGTTTCGCCCTGCTAGCAGCGAGCGCAGCAGACAGACTGAACTGGGTGTTGATACCGTCGATGCGGTGGACAGCGTTGAGGTTCTTGACGCAAGTGATCTGGAAGCAGGTAGCAGTTCCCTGGCGGGAGGCGATCGTAGAGTAGGCGAGGAAGTATTCCCAGATCTGGACATGATTAGCATCTAGCAATATAAGTACGCGACCCGTTGCTTACCTTGAACCATCGAATACCGTACTTGGCAACAACCTTCTCCTTGTTGGCGAGCCAGTTGCGGTACCACCTCCAGAGAGTAGCAGAGTAGTGTACACCGATGGTGTCGACCATCTTGACTTCAAAACCAGCACCCTCGAGCGTGTCGATGACGAAACCAAGGGGAGTAGAAGCGTCGGCACCGGGGAAGACGTATTTGTTCATGAAGAGACCCCAGGTAAAGTCCTCGAATTGCCAAGCCTTACGGAGACCAGCGATTTGGAGGAAGAAGACACCATCGTCGTCGAGCATGTCGTAAACTTGGCGGAAGAAGGAGCTCAAGTGGCGGACACCGACGTGCTCGGCCATCTCGAGACAGGTAATCTTCTGGTAGCCACCAGGAGGAAGGGGAATATCACGGTAGTCCATGCAGAGAACGTTGGACTGGCTCTCTTCGATGCCAGACTTCCTAAGGCCGTTGTTGCCCCAAGCAGTCTGGTTGCGACCGAGAGTGACACCGGTGACGTGAGCGCCGTAGTTCACGGAGGCGAACCTGGTGAGGGTTCCCCAACCGCAGCCAATGTCGAGCATCTTCTCGCCCTTCTTCAAGCCGATCTTTTCACAGACAACTGACATCTTGTTGTCCTGGAGCTGTTCGAGGCTCTCTTCGGTGTTGATGTCGGAGATGATACCGGAGGTGTAAATCATGCGTGGGCCGAGGAACCAGCCGTAGAAGTCGTCACCACGGTCGTAGTGGTCGCGTACCTGTTCTTCGTCTGAAGCGGGGTCAGCATATCGTCAGTCGATAACTCGTCTAGACACGTACCTTGGGACCTGGAGTGGACGATCATCTCGGGAATCATGCCAAACAGGAAGTGCTTGATCAATCCAAGTGTGAAGCGGGGCTTGGACCAGTCGTGGCGCCATTCGAGGATCTCGAGCATGTCGCCATTGAGCTCTACCTCGCCGTCGAAGTACTTCTCCTGGAACGTCTCGATGGGGATCTGCTTCTTGCCGTAGTATGCGTCGCGGTCCTCGGGCTTGTTGAACTTGAGGTAGTGCTCGATGGGCTTGCCGGGCAGTTTGGCCTTTTCGTTCTTGCGGGGCGCGAACTCAGAGGTGAGCCACCAGAAGGGACCTAGAATTGGGAGGAAGAGGACAAGGGCGAGGAAAACCCATGTCTTGAAGCCCATGCCCCAGCTCCAGGTGATGTAGGCGGGGACGCCCACCAACAGCGAGATGAGGGCATAGTTGTTGAACGAATCGCGGCCGGAACCTTCTGCGGGCAGAGGAGCATTCGCAATGGTCGGGTACTGTTGATCGCCAAATGTCAGCTTACGGGCCCGCGGTGTTGATGCTCAATGGCTGGTGGGGTGCTCGTTAAATTGACCACATGCAACCACATACCGATGTCGTCTTGACGCCGCAGTCGAACTCGGGCGTCGTGGGCGAGGGCGCCGGCGGCGTCTCAACCCACTCGAAGTTCTCCTCAGAGGTATTGCTGCTCATCTTGCGTACCGCGGAGCAATTTTGCAAGATGGGAGGTAAACGTGTTGGGATCCCGAGCCTTTAACGGCGGTGAATCTACTAAGCGAACGCACTGGGGTTGCGCCTGCCCCCCTGCACTGGCCCTGCAGGAGGTCGACTCGTAGCCTAGCTTCAGACCGTTCCCAGCACACCGACGGCGACTCCCATGGATTGGCGCGACATACGTTGCAACATTGCCAGCATAACTCTGCCTTGTTGATAAGGGGAGTGGGGCGGAAAGTCACAATCACCCACAACTCAACGTCCAGTATCTTGCCCTGGATTCTAGTCTACGCGATAGGCTTTCTCACCAACATGTAGGCTCGTTCCTTCTTCGGCCATACACGTGTATGATCTGAGGACCCTTTGTTTTCACCAAGATTAACGACAACTTTGTCCAGATGGGAACAATTTTCAGATTTGCCAAGCCTGGTTCTAGCATAGGCGGGGCACGCTCAGGACCTCGACGCGTCCGCTAGTAGCTTCCCCCTAACAAAGTCCACCTTCTCCTTGGCCACACCGGCTTTCTCCAGGTACTTCTCCACGCTGCCGTACTTCTCGACCATATACGAGTTTACATGGCTTACCAAGTCCGGGGGACATATCGCAAACTGCTCGGTCAGACCAATTGATGCCATCTCTTTCAGCCTTCCCTCCCTCTCTGGCTCGAGTTCTGGCTCGGATAGGCGATAGTCTTCGTCGATAGTGGTTTGATCCACACCGAGGAGCAACAGGACCAGCATGACTATGAGCCCGGTTCGGTCCTTGCCCTGCGTGCAGTGGACCAAAACTGGCCAGTTCTTCTCTTCTCCTAATACATCAAAGACCTGTGTGACTTCGCGCGTGCACACGTCCAGCGACTGCTCGGCCAGTCCGACAAGACCCATGTCTTCCATGTGAGGAGCTAAGATTTTGATCGCATCCTTGCGGTAGCCGACAATCATGAGGCCTGCGAGCCTGAAGAACTCAAGCCATGTGAGTTTCGAAAGCAACATGCGCGAGAAGGCCGAGCCATTGAAATTGATTTCGTGGTAGATTATGCCGGGTATCTTGAGGGGCTCCGCTGCGTCGTCGTTGGTTTGAGGGACTGCTGCTGACGCTTTGATTCTTGCATCGTGCTTTTGCGCCTGTTCGATATGCTCTGTTCTGCACCGGTCAACACGAAATCAGCTCACGAGCGTCGCGTCTACCTACTTCGTTCGTAGATCGATGATGCTCTTCACGCCATATTCTTTCAGCAATCTCTGCCTGTCTTGGAAAGAGGCCTCATCTTTAAAAGTCAGCCTCGCGCCAAGGCATGTGTGGGAGGTACGCACCAGGTCGTGCACTTCGGAACAGTAAGCCGTTCTTTAGACGGCTGCAGCACGGTCAGCGCAAGACTAATCTCAAGGCGCTTCTGTGGATTACCTAGTTCCTGTTGTTTCATTGACAAACTGGCTGACATCGCGAAAGTTCAAGATACTCTTGAGTGGCGTTTGCAGTTCAGCCATGTTTACTACGGCCGACAGACTAAAATTGGTGGTATACCTAGGTAGCTATCTGCTGAATCAAGATGGAAAGTTAAAACTCGGTGACGTAGTCAGCTCACACTAACCGCATCTAACCCGGCTTTGTCTCCCGAGCTTGTCGCTGAAACCAACACGCGCCAGTAGACGGAAGTACATCACTACAACAATCAGGATAAAAGCGCGCCATCTTCGTAGCTCACTTGATATCCGGATTGCGCTGTTGGGATCAGCGAACCTAACCACGACACCGTCTGGATATATCCGTCGCCTGTGCAAACATTTGGAGAAAGAAACCTGGCCACCACGGCGTGCAAGGGCAATTTGAACACCTACCTCTCAGAACTCTACATCACCTTGGGATACTTGCGAATTTCAGTTTTTGTGGTCGTTTAGACGGTGGAGCGCCTGTTCAGTTTGTTCCTTGCATGTCGTGCCGCTATGTTCCACTATGCCAAGTGTAACGTTCTGTACGCCGATGTTCTTCGTTCGCTCGACGCAGGGCTGCGATCTTCAGATGTGCACCAGGGTTCTGACAGACAGGATGAACCCTCGACGCACTTGGTGCATGATTTGACTGCTTCGGTGAGCCCGTCGCTGGCTTCAGTCAGGACAGGCAAGGCTACGTCGGGCTCAAGCTAGAACCAGGCCTGGAGTGGTAAGGCTAGTGTGAGATTTCGACGCGGAACGCACCCTTACGGCGATCCTCCACAGACCTAGGTAGAGCTCGAGGTTGATATGACATCATCGCCGTCCTCTCGTCATTTTAGCCATGAAGGGTGCCGCTGTGTGTGACCCTAGCTGGCATTTGCCTTTCCCTCTTATTTCTCGTGATCGCCCTTGAAGCAACGCCTGACACATTCCCGTCTTGCTTCGACCCGCTCTTTCACAATGGCGACGACAGCCCTTACCACGGACGCGCCCCCCGCGTCTGACAGCAGACCCTTGAAGCAATCGGAACAGGCGGCTCCACCGCGATCCTCCGCCGAGACGAACATGCGTTGCCCTGACCCATCCGCGCATCAGCATCCAAAGACCAGCGCATTGCAAAACCAGGCGTCGGCAGCGGCGCTTTACTCGCACAACCACGGTAGCCCTGCTAAAGCAAACGTCTCGAAGCCCATCAATCCGCTCGGAGCAGACGGAAAGCTCTCGTCGGCCAGTGAGTGCAATGTTATGATCACTGCATTACATCATACCCTAACAGAAATCCACAGGCGCTGCAACGAGCCTCAAATACGCAAAAGCCCAAGACCTTCCCAGCTACCCCGTGGTGGGAATTGATACACAGTCCTCTGCCGGAGCCGCCGCATTACTCGCCAACCAGAACAAGAAGAGCCCGGAGTGGTGGAAACCCGAACAATCTTCCGCAGCAGGCAAGGCTGCGTTGCTCGCAAACGGTTACAAGATGGCGCCCATGTGGCAGCCAGAAGCAAGCGCAGCAGGCTCAAAGGCCGCGCTTCTCGCCCATAGAGATGGTGGAAAGCTGAACCTATGGCAGCCTGAAGCTAGTGCTGATGGTCATTCTGCTGCTACCATCGCTATGCGCAAGGCAGCACCCAGCGCAGACGTGGATTACGGATATACAGACCAGGGCAGGAAGAATGCCTTTACTGCAGCCACCGACGCCCATTCGGCATCAAGACGCAAGCGCGCTCAATCAAACCCACCCACTGCGCCGCTATATCCAGACTCAAAGAACTCTGCTAGGAATGCATTGGGTGCAGCAACGCTTGCCCACAGTGCATCGACCCGGGCCAAACCTCAAGCAGCTCCTGTTGACTCCAGTCGCGGCGGCTATGGTGCTATGGAGGCTGCACGTATCCAGCATGCGAAGAGCATCTCGCGCGACATGTACACAAGCGCTCCACCAGTTGCATTAGAGACGGAAGAGAAGAAGCATAACGATGCCCTTCGAGCTTCCGCCATATCCATGGCCAAGAAAATTTACGATGTGCAGCAGCAACACATTGATGGCGCATCGGGCCAGTCCATTGCTCGTACAGGAGCGACGGCAGCCCATAGCCAACAGCCCGCGACCGGCGAGGCCGACATCAAGCAGCAAGCTATGCGCTATATCGGGATCCAAGAGGCTGCGCAGAAGCTCGCACAAGAAAGACTGTCCAAGATAGGATACGACGAGAACGCTGCTTACCGAAGCTACTACGGCTACGACCAGCCGACACGCTCGAAGCTGTCAATGCGGCGTGGGCGCAACCGCGCGCACAGTGCTTCCGAGACAGCTCCTGCACAAGACTCGGATTCTGACGAAGACGACTTCCGCTCAAGACGAATTCGCTCGCAGATGGACCAATTCAACAAACAGCTGGCTGATGTCGATGCAAAGAAACGCGAGAACGACCGCAAGTCCCTGCTTGCTGCAGCACAGCGCAAGGTACAAGCTCAAATGCAGGGCATGGATAAGCAGATCTATGATAAGACTGGCAAGATGTCATCCGCAATGGTGGACGATTGGGATGAGAAGGCGCGACAGCGAGCCCTAGCCAACTCTGAAACCCGTATGGAAAATCACGGAAGAGTACACATTGGTAACGGTAAATGGATGGACCAAGGAGACATTGATGCTATTGCCCAAGCGAGGATTCAGCCTACATTGGACGAGATCACCGAGAAGACGGATAAGCGCCGTGCCGAGGACGAGAGACGACGTGCTGAGGAGGATGAGCGCCGACTTGACCAGGAGCAAGAGAAGCGCCGCATCCGAACGGAGAAAGAGCGTGCCGCCGAGATCAAGGCAGAGGAGAAGCAGGGCAGGGGTACGTGTTCATCATCGCATAGTTCTCACAATACTAACTTCTGACAGAGGAAGAGAAGAGGGCTGTCAAAGCGCGGGCTGCCGAAGAGAAACTAGCAGCGAAGCAGGCAAAGGAAGCTGAGAAGACCAAGACTGCAGGAGAACAACGCAAATCAAAAGAGATCACCACGACTGAACCTGCAGTGGTGGCCAATGAAACTCCACGCGACAACGAGGATCTGTACGAAGAGGCAGAGCTTACAGAAGCTCACCCTATACCAGAGCACGATTCGGCCGATCCAACCTCGCCGACGTCCCAAGGATCCTCCAAGGGTTTCAAATCACTCTTGAGCAAACTGAAGAGGCGTTCCAAGCATTCTCCTGCGGCAGAGACCGAAGGTACTACCAAAGAACAAGAGCCTGGCTTCATCGGTGGCGCGACTCTCCGGAATTCCGTCTCGCAACCCCAGTCTCAATCTCTATCTTCAAAGAGCGCTAGCGAACCGGCTCGTGAATCGATAGACAGCCGCATATCTGGTGAGGCCGATCGCCCAAAGGACTTGAGTCATGTTGAGCCTTCGTATGTCCCTCACGTGGGTGTCGTCAAGGAAGAACGCTATTCAGACGTCTCATCTCTGTCTGGCGATGAAGATGAATTCAGCTTGGCACGTGGAAGGTCTGCAGAACGTGTTGTAAGCGGGGCCACAGCGACATCTGCTGGCGAGAGCTTCGAGGAAGCGCGTGACCATTTCGATGAAGCCCTGGCACCGCCCCCAGCATTTGGCTCTGACGCAGAGAAAGCCAGGAAGGGAAGTCCAAATCGGGAGTCAAAGTTCCAAGAAGTGGGATTGTAGGCCTTGTGATGATCAGACAAGGAAATGAGTTTCGTATCTGCCATGCTTGATTTGAAGGTTGTAATGGTTGCTATGTTTGGGATTACGTTCAGTATGAGTAGTCTGCGATGGTATATGAAGCACAAGCTTGGCCTTGATGTATAATGTAATGTCTTACTTTGTATGAGATAGTTTTGAAGTTCTTGGGTCATATTGCAGGTTGCCCAGAAATATCAATGTGGAATTCGCGTTCTGCTCTCATGCTTGTTGCGCGGAGACGCGCCGGGGAAGTACGGGTTCCCGCGTCACCTAGCCTCACGACCTGCTATTACGAATATGCAAGATGATGAACTGGAAGCCAATTTCAAGGCCTATAGACAGGGTGTACTCTTCTCTTCTTTGCAACGCGGTAAAGGCATCAAAAACGTCGGTGTTGAAAGTAAGCGTACTCGGGATTGGTCGCTGCAGCAAACGTCATTGGGTAAAGCTGCCACAATTGGGTTTTACCTAATCGGGAGCTTTGCCAAGCATAGGGCGAACCAGCGTATGTGGAAACAACACCAGGAGCTCCTTTCTCGAACAGCATCACCCTCCACGACCCCGACCCCGCCTTATACGACCGTCTCTCATTTCCTATCACGCGCTTCTGGAGTTGTGCACCTGGGTCTACTTCTTCCTTTTCTTCCGATACCCGATTCTTGCGCGCTTTCTCACCCCGGTGAGCTTGGAGCTGGACTGTCGCAAACATGGCCCAGCGACAGGTGCCATTGCACGTCACTCAGCCGACGCTGGTATGTGCCGCATCAGACCCTTGCATGCCATAGTGCTTGAAGCTAACAATTGACAGCTCACGAACCTCAACATTCTCGTACGTTGGTCCCAGGCCTCGCTTTCCGCGAACAAGGCAACCAAGGACCCCAGCTAACACATAGTCCAGCCGGCATCGATATCATGGCAAAACTGCGTACGTAATCCCACAAGGTGTATACACATGACCAAGTTATGCTAACAGCCCGCGTAGACACTCGAGTCCGACAAGTACGTTTGCGTGCGCCAGGTCAACAACGAAGCCAACGCGCCCGCCGAGACCGTCATCATCGACCTCAAGAACACCAACAATGTCATCCGGAGACCGATTCGCGCCGACAGCGCCATCATGCACTTGACTGAGCCCATCATCGCTCTCAAGGCACAAGGCCGGACACTGCAGCTGTTTAACCTCGAGACCAAAGAGCGTCTGCAGACCTACAGCCATCAGGAGGACATTCAATTCTGGAGGTGGATCAGCCAGACGACACTTGCGCTCGTCAGCACAAAGGCCGTATACCACTGGGATGTCCTTGATTCGAAGAACGCTGTTGCGCCGCGTAAGATCTTCGATCGCCAAGAACAACTCGAGGTATGTGAACTGGGCCATTCAGCGCCAATTGCATCTAACCCGCTGTGTAGAACAACCAGATCATCAACTACGTTACCAACGATGACGAGAGCTGGTCTTGCTTGGTCGGTATCACATCGAACCCCGCCGGTGGCATTCGTGGAAACATGCAGCTCTTCTCCAAGGCGAGGAACGTTAGCCAGCCCCTCGAGGGTCACGCTGCTACCTTTGGCACACTCCGTCTCGATGGAGCCTCAACCGACACAAAGATCTTCGCCTTCGCTGTGAAATCTTCGTCTGGAGAAGCCAAAATCAACATCGTCGAGGTCGACCACAACGCCGCAAACCCAGCCTTCCCGAAGCGCCTCATTCCGATCCACTGGCCCGCCGAGGGTACTGGTGACTTCCCGCTCGGCATCCATATCGCGCAAAAGTACGGCATTTTAATCGTAATTACGAAGTTCGGTTTCATTCACCTCCACGACCTCGAGACCGGTACCGCTCTGTTCCTGAACCGGATATCTGAGGAGACAGTCTTCACAACGGCGCGAGATGACGAAGGCACTGGTGTAGTCGTCATCAACAAGCGCGGACAGGTTCTGCATACAACCATTCGGGAAGACACCCTGATTCCATACATCATGGAGAACCCGGCGTGTGCTGAAATTGCGTACAAGCTTGCCTCAAAGGGCGGGCTTCCAGGCGCAGATCAGCTCTACTCCCAACGATTCGAGACGCTCATGTCCCAGGGAAACTTCGCGGAAGCCGCAAAGGTCGCTGCCAACTCGCCCCGGGGCTTCCTCCGCACAATGAACACAATCAACAGGCTGCGCCAGGTTCCCAACCAACCTGGTCAGATCACTACTCTGCTACAATACTTTGGTCAATTACTCGACAAGGGTGGTTTGAACAAGGAGGAAACTCTGGAGTTGGCCCGACCTGTTTTCGCTCAGGGCCGCAAGCACCTCATCGAGAAGTGGCAGAAGGAAGGCAAGCTTCACTGCTCAGAGGAGCTCGGTGATCTCGCCAAACCCCACGATCTAAACCTCGCTCTGGCCATCTATAAGGAGGCGAACGTATCCCAGAAGGTTGTCGCAGCTCTCGCGGAGCTCGGCCACTACGATCTCATCCTGCAGTACTGCAACGGCGTTGGCTACACACCGGATTACAACGTCTTGCTTCAGCACGTCGTTCGCATCAATGCCGAGAAGGGAGCCGAGTTTGCTTCCCAGCTAGCGAAGAACGAAGGCGGCCCACTGATTAGTATCGACCGCGTTGTCGACATCTTCCAGTCCCAAGGCATGATCCAACAGGCAACCGCTTTCCTCCTGGATGTTCTCTCCAACGATCTACCCGAAGAGGGCCACATGCAGACCAAGCTCCTCGAGATGAACTTGCTCAATGCCCCTCAGGTTGCAGATGCTATTCTGGGCAATGAGATGTTCCACCACTACGACAAGATGCGCATCGCTCAGCTCTGCGAGAACGCTGGTCTGCTGACTCGTGCTCTGGAACACAATGATGACCCAGCCGCGATCAAGCGTATCATTGTTCAGACCGACAAGCTTCCAGAAGAGTGGCTGATCAACTACTTCGGTCAGCTCACAGTCGAGCTGTCGCTTGAGTGCTTGGACGCCATGCTCACTACCAACATCCGCCAAAACCTTCAAGCTGTCATCCGCATCGCCCAGAAGTATTCTGATCTGCTTGGCGCCACCAAGATCATCGATCTGCTAGAGAAGCACCGCACCGCGGAGGGTCTGTACTTCTTCTTGGGTTCCATTGTCAACGTCAGCGAAGATCCCGACGTTCACTTCAAGTACATCGAGGCTGCGACCACTATGGGCCAACTCAACGAAGTTGAGCGTATCTGCCGAGAGAGTCAGTTTTTGAACGGAGAAAAGGTCAAGAACTTCTTGAAGGAGGCCAACCTCACGGAACAGCTACCTCTGATTATTGTCTGCGACCGCTTCAACTTCATCCACGATCTTGTACTGTACCTGTACAAGAAGCAGCAGTTCAAGTCTATCGAAGTCTACGTTCAGAGGGTCAACCCTGCCAGGACACCGGCTGTCGTTGGCGGTCTGCTCGATGTGGACTGCGATGAAAGCATCATCAAGGGCCTTCTGGCTTCAGTAACGCCATCGTCGATTCCAATCGATGAGTTGGTTGCTGAGGTTGAGTCGCGAAACCGATTGAAGCTTCTTCTCCCATTCTTGGAGCAGACACTCGCAAGTGGCAACCAGCAGCAAGCTGTCTACAACGCCTTGGCCAAGATCTACATCGATTCCAACAACAACCCGGAGAAGTTCCTGAAGGAGAACGACCAATACGACACACTCACCGTTGGCAAATACTGCGAGAAGCGTGACCCCAACTTGGCATTCATCGCCTACAGCAAGGGACAGAATGACCTTGAGCTGATCCACATCACCAACGAGAACGCCATGTTCAAGGCCCAAGCACGTTACCTTCTGGAGCGAGCCGACTCCGAGGTCTGGGATTATGTCCTGAGTCCCAACAACATCCATCGCCGATCGCTCGTAGACCAAGTCACTTCCTCGGCTGTTCCTTCGTCTACCGATCCAGACAAGGTCTCTGTTGCTGTGAAGGCTTTCATCACTGGTGACATGCCTGCTGAGCTGATCGACCTGCTGGAGAAGATCATCTTAGAGCCGACTACATTCAGTGATAACCCGTCCCTTCAGAACTTGCTGATGCTCACTGCCTGCAAGTCCGATCGCGGTAGAGTTATGAACTACATCCAGCAGCTCGATCAGTACAGCCCTGAAGACATTGCCCAACAATGTATCGAGGTCGGCATGTACGACGAGGCCTTTGAGATCTTCAAGAAGCACGAGAACCACGTCGAGGCTGCCAACGTCCTCATTGAGCACATTGTTTCGATCGATCGAGCATATGAATATGCTGACAGGGTTGACACGCCTGAGGTGTGGAGCAGGGTCGCTAAGGCACAGCTGGACGGTCTTCGTGTCACGGACTCAATCGAGTCTTACATCCGTGCCGGAGACGCATCCAACTATCTGGAAGTCATTGAGATTGCTACCCACGCTGGCAAGGACGAAGACTTGATCAAGTTCCTGAGAATGGCTCGCAAGACTCTTCGTGAGGTACCCGTCGACACCGCCTTGGCTTTCTGCTTCGCTCGTACCAACCAACTACCCGAGCTCGAGGACTTCCTCCGCGCTACCAACGTTGCAGATGTTGAAGCGTCAGGTGACAAGGCTTACGAGGAGGGTTATCATGAGGCGGCCAAGATCTTCTTCACTAGCATTTCGAACTGGGCGAAGCTTGCAACCACTCTTGTGCACCTAGAGGACTACCAAGCTGCTGTCGAGTGTGCCAGGAAGGCAAACTCCGTCAAGGTCTGGAAGCAAGTCAACGAAGCCTGCGTCGCGAAGAAGGAATTCCGTCTCGCCCAGATTTGCGGTCTCAACCTGATCGTCCACGCCGAAGAGCTCACCGATCTCGTTAAGCAGTATGAGCGCAATGGCTACTTCGACGAGCTGATTAGCCTGCTCGAGGCTGGTCTTGGATTGGAACGCGGTAAGTACACCCCTCTGACAACTACCGTCCCGTTGAAAAGTTCAACCCTTCAACAATCATAACCCATGACAACTACACTATGTACAAGATGCTAACTCAGTCAAACTAGCCCACATGGGAATGTTCTCTGCGTTGGGAGAAGCTCTAGCCAAGTACCATCCTGAGCGTGTCATGGAGCACCTCCGTCTCTTCTGGTCAAGGTCGGTCTTTGAGTGAACTTCGCTTATGTGCTTCCAACTGACAACCCATAGGATCAACATTCCAAAGATGATTCGTGCAACAGAAGAGGCCCATCTATGGTGAGTGCAATCGCAAACAACATTCGTGCCACTCGGTTCTAACATTTCTAGGCCCGAACTCATCTTCCTCTACGTCCACTACGATGAGTGGGACAACGCCGCCCTTGCCATGATGGAGCGTGCCGCAGATGCCTGGGAGCACCAAGCATTCAAGGACACCATCACCAAGGCTACTAACGTTGAGATCTACTACCGGGCTTTGGGCTTCTATCTTGAGGAGCAGCCAACTCTCCTGACGGACCTCTTGCAAGCGTTGACCCCCCGAATCGATGTCAACCGCGTTGTCCGCATGTTCGTCAAGTCTGACAACATTCCTCTGATCAAGCCTTTCCTCCTCAACGTCCAGTCACAGAACAAGCGCGAGGTCAACAACGCCCTCAACGATCTCCTTATCGAAGAGGAGGACTACAAGACACTCCGCGACTCGGTCAACAACTATGACAACTACGACCCCGTTGACCTTGCCCAGCGTCTGGAGAAGCACGACCTTGTCTTCTTCCGTCAAATCGCAGCCGACATCTACCGCAAGAACAAGCGATGGGAGAAGTCCATCACTCTCAGCAAGCAGGACAAGTTGTTCAAGGATGCCATTGAGACCTCTGCGATGTCAGGCAAGTCTGATGTCGTTGAGGATCTGCTCCGCTACGTAAGTTTCCCTCTGCATTTGTCAAGTACGATACTAATTCGCATAACAGTTCGTCGATATCGGCAGTCGCGAGTGCTACGTCGGTATGCTCTATGCCTGCTATGACCTCCTCCGCCCCGACCTCATCCTCGAGATGTCATGGCGCAACGGTCTGCACGACTTCACCATGGTATGTAAAAACTCTTCCGTGTGTGCTTTGTAAACCACTAACATTTCACCAGCCATACATGATCAACCTCATCTCCCAACAGACGGCCGCTCTCGAGATGCTCAAGAAGGACAACGAGGAGCGCAAGACCCGCGAGGTGTCGCAGCAGAAGAAGGAGGACGACACTCCGATTTTGGGCTCGCGCCTCATGCTCACTCAGGGTCCGATGACTTCGGCCCCGTCTCCAGGTCCTTATGGACAGGCCAACGGCATCGCCCCGCAGCCAACTGGAGGCTTCCGCCCCTTTTAGACGCTGTTCAAATGGAGACGAGCTTGCCACTCCGGAAGTAGGGTAGTCAAGGGTTCTCTTCACACTACATATTGATGATTGGTGGAGCATGCAAAAGCGAACGGGAGGTTCATAGGTTTTGGGCAGTTTGCGGCAATGTACTCTACAGGCGTTCAAGGTGGCCTCTTAGTCTGGATGCTTCACATATAGAACATCTTCAGGCTTCTGTACTCTAGTTAATCACTTCATTTGCGCTGATATCTCGTGTTCACTGTGGATGTTCGCTTGTTGTAATCCCAATGACGTCGCACCCTGGAGTTGAACATCTATCACGAATGTACTCACACGTGATAAATCGTTAGTATGTCAATATGATGACTGACGATCTTAACAGTACGTTTCCGTCCCGGTATTCGAAACACTAGCAAAATGTCACAATCGTTGCGGCCATCACGTAGAAATGAGGGTCCTGGGCAGTGACGGCTTGCAGGAATAAGGACATGCCCGGCTCCTACATGTATTTATTGCGTACTGTACGAGATATCCGAACGTACGCTGGAGGTACTCACTACTAACAGGACTTGCGCAGGCATCGACCCGGCCAGTCATTACGAATACAACGCTGGTTTCTGCTTGAGCGCAATCACGCTGCATACAGCGAATACCTCCACGAGCCTTTTTATAATGATGCTGTTGGTTGAGTATTACCTATCCTTAGGCCTCGACTCTGCATGCTACCACGCTGATCTAGGAAAAACTGAACATCCTAGAGCCTACGTTGATGTCAGGTCACCGACTTTGCAAGTTTTTGATTTAATGTAATCTGCAAACATGTGTAGTTGTGCGAGGTGATACCGTGGTTGGGAACGAACCTGGCAGACCCCGTTACCAAAAGTCCAATTCCCAAAGTACGCAACCAGAGTTTGCACTACCTACATATTTTTCGTCACGTGTCGATTGTGAGCCTTCCAAGGTTGGCTTTAGTTGATTCTCAACCTTGGTACACAGCGAAGGTTTGACGTCCTTTCCGAATAGCATAATTCCTATAGCAAGCTGAAACATGATACGACGCAGTGATACACGAAATGTAGATGTGCCGTTGATCAAACCCTAGAAAGCATAGCAGATACCCCGAGGACAGGTTGAGGTGACCCACGAAAAGGTTTCTGTGTATGCTCACGGATAAATTAGCTCAACCGTTCGGGCGTCAATGTGCCAAGTAGCGAGTGTTTGAAGCTCCGTATCGCAGGTGCATGATCTTTGCCAAGCAATCTTGGAAGACTAGTACACGAGTAATGTTTCCAGATGCAGCCACTGAATGCCTCAAACGACCCCATCGTAAGCTAACGTCACCGGTTTCGAAGAGTCGCTCGTAGCCAAGTCAAGTCTAGATCTACGTAACCATCTGTCATGGTGAGAGGCGGAACCGCATGGGCGTGATGCGCAGCCGGTAATAGCTCAGACCCATGTTCCGAATACTCCTCGGAGCCATGCAGGTACGCGGCCACGAAGCGAGGCAAAGGTCGGAAAAGTATACCGTGAACGAGGTTAAATAGCGAGGTTGCCCTCGACGGCCATAAGGAGCTCGGTAGAGGAACCTACGCCGAAGGAAAGCGCTGGATAAGCACGACATTTTTCCGCGATGCCGAGCTTTCTCCGATGCGGTAGACACTGCTCTGGCAGCTGGGATGGAGATGGAATGGGCTCGCGAATGGCTTGCCAGAGGGGTCAGAGTGGGTAGCGGTCAAGGTTTCATTGAGCGTCGACGACACCGGACGAGGTGCGTGTGGCTTTGGCTAGGCGCCCCACGTGCTTAGTGGGCGTGGGATATGTAGAGCAAAAAGGTTTTATACATGTTTAAGATTCTGGTACGCGGTGGGGCAGGGCCTGTGACGACGGTGACAATTTCAATCGTGTCGCACACGGGGTGGTTCCGTCGGCGAACCTTGTCAGTGCCCCTCCATTATCTCCCCGCGCGAGGGAGCTCTGGCCAGGTGGTGGCATGCAGCTATCCATGGTTAGCTTGGTTGCTTTTCAGGTGGCCGACGGGGTCTCTGCAGCGTGTTTCCATCTGGCTTGGCTGTGTGGATCTGTTTTGGGATTAAACTCGCGCTCTGCACATGGTTGAGCGAGTGAGTCGTAGCAAGTAGCAGACCCTGGATATCCGATAGTCGGTACCATAATAAATTGGCGCTGTATCCTACTTCTTCTGCGCCTTTCAGACCTCCCCCTCTCCTCCTCTCTCTCACTACCTCTTCCCCCTCTCTTACCCCAATACACACAGCCGTCATCCAGCATGACGACGCTTGCAGTTGACCAGAACGCCTCGTCGGCCATTGACGAGAACGACTTCGACGAGGACCATGGCGAGCACCACCCCCACAGGAACTCGGTCCACCACAAGCTGCGTGCGAGCAGCTCCATCATGCAGCTGAAGAAGCTGCTGGGTACGTTGGCCGAGCACAATGGCTCACTCCTCGCTCTTCGGCGCTCTAACAGCTCTGCCAGTTGCCAACCGAGGAGAAATCCCCATCCGTATCTTCCGAACAGCGCACGAGCTGTCGCTGCACACCGTGGCCGTCTACAGCCATGAGGACCGCCTCAGCATGCACAGGCAAAAGGCCGACGAGGCGTACGAGATTGGCGCCCGCGGCCAGTACACGCCTGTCGGTGCTTACCTGGCGGGCGATGAGATCATCAAGATCGCGGTCGAGCACAACGTGAACATGATTCACCCGGGCTACGGCTTCTTATCGGAGAACGCAGAGTTCGCGCGCAACGTCGAGAAGGCTGGCCTCATTGTGAGTTTTACCGCTTTGTTTACGCTATGACGGAGCTGCGTGGAGGGGTCGCCGCTGCCTATCAGCCGCTGCTGAGCCTATCGCTCCCGCGCGAGATGAGGCATTGGCGGGGCCGATCACCAAGCAGCCCGGCGCCGATCACCGCAGCGCCCATGGCCTTTTTTTCCCACCCATGCAATATGCGACTCATGCTTACTTTTGCTTTTAGTTCGTGGGCCCCTCTCCCGACACCATCGACGCGCTCGGCGACAAGGTCTCGGCGCGAAAACTCGCCGTCAAGTGCAACGTCCCCGTTGTGCCAGGAACCCCGGGGCCCGTCGAGAAGTTTGAGGATGTCAAGGCCTTTACCGACGAGTATGGCTTTCCCATCATCATCAAGGCCGCTTTCGGCGGTGGTGGCCGTGGTATGCGTGTAGTACGCGAGCAAGAGACGCTCAAGGACTCGTTCGAGCGCGCCACTTCAGAGGCCAAGTCGGCCTTCGGTAACGGAACCGTCTTCGTCGAGCGCTTCCTCGACAAGCCCAAGCACATTGAAGTCCAGCTTCTCGGTGACAACCAGGGCAACGTCGTCCATCTCTACGAGCGTGACTGCAGTGTCCAGCGCCGTCACCAGAAGGTCGTTGAGATTGCTCCCGCCAAGGACCTTCCAGTTGAGACTCGTGATGCTATCCTTGCCGACGCTGTCAGGCTCGCTCAGAGCGTCAAGTACAGGAACGCCGGAACTGCCGAGTTCTTGGTTGACCAGCAAAACCGGTATGTTATATATCCCATCCCACCACACTCCACCACACCACCTCGTTCAAGAAGAAAATTGAACACCCTGGAGCCTACATCGACGTCAAGTCACCCACCTTACGAGGTTCCATCTTGATGTAGTCTCCAGGGTGTTCGGTTTTTTCCTAGATTAACGTGCTTCCACTACTACTCTTATGATGGATTTCGCTAATTCTCTACCTAGCTACTACTTTATAGAAGTATGAAAGCCTTACGAAGTATTCAAGAGAAGCATAGACTAACTCTGAGTCAGATCAACCCCCGTATCCAGGTCGAGCACACTATCACCGAGGAGGTCACCGGTATCGACATTGTTGCGGCACAAATTCAGATCGCAGCAGGCGCATCTCTTGAGCAGCTTGGCCTGACCCAAGACCACATCTCCACACGAGGCTTTGCCTTCCAATGCCGAATCACCACAGAAGACCCCGCTCAGAGCTTCGCGCCTGACACTGGAAAGATCGAGGTGTACCGCTCTGCCGGTGGTAACGGAGTCCGTCTCGACGGTGGTAACGGTTTCGCCGGAGCCATCATCACCCCTCACTACGACTCTATGTTGGTCAAGTGCTCTTGCCGCGGTTCCACATACGAGATCGTCCGCCGAAAGATGCTGCGTGCTCTAGTTGAGTTCCGTATCCGTGGCGTCAAGACCAACATTCCCTTCTTGATCAAGCTCCTCACACATCCCACCTTCGTCGACGGTCAATGCTGGACAACTTTCATCGACGACACTCCCGCTCTCTTCGACTTGATCGGCTCCCAGAACCGTGCCCAGAAGCTTCTCGCATATCTCGGTGATCTCGCTGTCAACGGCAGTCAGATCAAGGGCCAGATTGGTGAGCCCAAGTTCAAGGGCGTCATCCCCATCCCGGCCATCCACGACAACAACGGCAAGAAGGTTGACACCTCCGCGCCTTGCACCGAGGGATGGAGGAACGTCATTCTCAAGGACGGTCCCGAGGGATTCGCCAAGGCTGTTCGCGCCAACAAGGGTTGCTTGATCATGGACACCACATGGCGTGATGCCCACCAGTCGCTTCTCGCCACTCGTGTCCGAACTGTTGACTTGCTCAACATCGCCAAGGAGACCAGCCATGCCTTCTCCAACGCATGGGCTCTCGAGTGCTGGGGTGGCGCTACTTTCGATGTCGCCATGCGTTTCCTCTATGAAGATCCCTGGGAGCGTCTGAGGAAGATGCGCAAGCTCGTACCCAACATTCCATTCCAGATGCTCCTCCGCGGCGCGAACGGTGTTGCGTACTCTTCGTTGCCCGACAACGCCATCTTCCACTTCTGTGAGCAGGCCAAGAAGAACGGTGTCGATATCTTCCGTGTCTTTGATGCGCTGAACGACGTTGAGCAGCTTGAGGTTGGTGTCAAGGCGGTCCTCAAGGCTGGTGGTGTCGCTGAGGGTACCGTGTGCTACAGTGGTGACATGCTCAACCCCAAGAAGAAGTACAACCTGGAGTACTACTTGGATGTAGTCGACAAGATCGTCAAGATGGGAGCGCACATCCTCGGTATCAAAGACATGGCTGGTGTACTCAAGCCCCGTGCCGCCCGTCTCTTGATCGGTACCATTCGCGAGAAGTACCCCGATCTCCCTATCCACGTGCACACTCACGACTCTGCCGGAACTGGTGTTGCATCTATGGTTGCCTGCGCTGAGGCTGGCGCGGACGCTGTTGATGCCGCTATCGACAGTATGTCGGGTATGACTTCTCAGCCTAGCATGGGTGCCATCCTCTCATCTCTCGAGGGCACCGACTTCGACGCTGGTCTGGACGCACACATGATCCGTAACTTGGACGCATACTGGGCCCAGCTCCGTCTCCTCTACTCACCCTTCGAGGCCGGTCTTACCGGACCCGACCCCGAAGTCTACGAGCACGAGATTCCCGGAGGTCAGCTTACCAATTTGATCTTCCAGGCATCGCAGCAAGGTCTTGGTGAGCAATGGGCTCAGACCAAGAAGGCGTACGAGCAGGCCAACGACTTGCTCGGCGACATTGTCAAGGTCACTCCCACTTCCAAGGTTGTTGGTGACTTGGCTCAATTCATGGTCTCCAACAAGCTTTCCTACGACGACGTCCTAGCCAAGGCTGACCAACTCGACTTCCCATCCTCTGTCCTGGAGTTCTTCGAGGGACTCATGGGTCAGCCATACGGCGGTTTCCCCGAGCCCCTCCGCTCGCAAGCTCTCCGCGAGCGAAGGAAGATGGACAAGCGCCCTGGTCTCTACCTTGAGCCCGTTGATATCCCCAAGATCAAGGCTGACCTCAAGGCTAAGTGGGGTGACGCCACAGAGTGCGATGTTGCATCGTACATTATGTACCCCAAGGTCTTTGAGGACTACAAGAAGTGGACCACCAAGTACGGAGATCTCTCCGTTCTGCCTACTCGTTACTTCTTGTCGCGCCCAGAGATCGGCGAGGAGTTCCACGTCGAACTTGAGAAGGGTAAGGTTCTCATTCTCAAGCTCCTCGCCATCGGTCCCCTGTCCGAGCAGACCGGTCTGCGTGAAGTCTTCTACGAGATGAACGGTGAGACCCGTACCGTCACCGTGGAGGACCAACACGCGGCTATCGAGAACGTTTCGCGACCCAAGGCCGACCCCACAGACAGCAGCCAAGTCGGATCACCCATGTCCGGTGTCCTGGTCGAGGTCCGTGTCCACGATGGTAGCGAGGTCAAGAAGGGTGACCCAGTTGCTATTCTGAGCGCCATGAAGATGGAGATGGTCATCTCCGCACCACACTCTGGAAAGGTCAGTGGCCTGTCAGTACGTGAGGGTGACTCGGTCGACTCTGGCGACTTGGTCTGCAAGCTCGTCAAGTGAGCATATCGCTTGGATAGTTTGCTTTGTTTATGAGAGTTATGAAATCCAAGAATGGACATGATTAGATAGTAACGAATTACGGCGCTGGGATGCCATTTCAACTTCAAAAACGTCCATCTGTTCCTTCTGATCGTGCCTGTGAACATTGAACCACACAACTTCTGAAGCTTTGCGTCGCTTCCACATGAATAATGATCGTGCTATACAAAACGCAAAAGGATTCTCTTATCCTATGCACCCAGTTTTCAATCTGCCCAAAAGCATGCATCGCATTTCTACTTGATATATGTTCAGCAGATCATAGGCCTAGAAGGTATCCAGTAGGTTTTGTCCCGGTATATTTACAAGACATGCCATAGCACAGTGTCTACATCAGGTCATAACGCAGTAAAGAAAGGCTGCTTAACATCATGGTTATTACTACATTGCTGCAGGAGGAGGTCGAAAAATAAATATTTAGTCGCTTTAAAGTATACATGGGACGGACGTGTACAGTATCGCATGTATAATGAACTTCGGTAGTTGATACACCGAAACAAAGCTACCACCACCCAGCCCCAGACTCCAAGAAATGCAGCATAGCTAGCCTAGTCTAAACGGAAGGCCCTACCCGTATGCAGGTTCCCTTGAACCGAGCTCCAAACGCCCAAACGCCATGTCAGATCCAAGGGATCCACTCGATCGAACCACTTGATCGGGAGAAGCCGGAACGCAGCCACACCTCCTACAAGCTACAAGGAAGACACTGACCAGGCCTGTAGCCTACACTAGGACAAAAACAAGCAAACGAGAAGATCTAGCGTCAATGTAGGCTCCAGGGTGTTTAGGTTTTCCCCTTGGATAGAATGATCTACCCCATGGAGCCAAAGTCGAGCTTCCGAGCTACCTTGTCGGCGCGACCATTGGTAGGCATCTCTCCGCCTCTCCGCTTGAGATCCTCTCCCATGGCCTTTGCCCCACCGCCTTCTTTGGGCAAGTTTTCTTTCTTCGTGGGCCGGGGTGCGTTGGTCCACCACTTATCCTCTAGCGCTTTGCGAGCCGTGTACCTCTTTGCCGGATCCAGTGTCAATAAACCCTTGATAAAGTCGCAGCCGTCGTCTCCCAGGGCAGGAAACTGTTGTTTCCACCACACGCGAGGACGTGTCTGTCGGAAGGCTGTAGAACCCTGTGGGCCGGTTTGCTTCTCAGGCGCAACGTAGTATGGGAGGGAAGATACGCCGGGCCAGGTTTCCTCGGTCGGCGTTCCGAACTTCTCGCAGATGGTGGCGACTTGTTGGATGTCGGTGTCGGAGTAGAGAAACCAGTTGCGGATACAGAGTTCTGCCATTAGGACTCCGATACTCCACATGTCAGCTGTGCCGCCGTAGTGCGAGCAGCCGTACAGCAACTCCAACGGACGGTACATGCGTGTAATGACCATGGTAGTCATTTTCGTTCCTGGATCTGCGAAACTCCGCGCAAGACCGAAATCGGCAAGCTTGACTGTTCCGTCGGCGGCAATCAGGGCGTTACTACCCTTGATATCGCGATGCAGGACGAAGTTCTCGTGGCAGAACCAGATTCCCTGACACAGCATGTTCATCCATGACTTGATATCCGCCTTTGTGTATGTGATTTCCTTGTTCTTCCAGAGCGCCTCCAGGTCTCCCAGGGGCAGATGTTCGAGTACGAAGGACAGGTTTTGGTCCTTGCTGGAGAAGACGTCGTGTAGTTTGATTACGTTGGGATGGTCGATCTCGAAGAGGAATTGCATTTCGCGGAGGGCGTCTGGGGCGATTCCGTTGGGGTACTCGGCGTTGAGCTTGATCTTCTTGATGGCGACGAGCTTCTTGGGGTTGTTGACGTAGTGGGCTTGGAAGACTACCGCATAGGTACCTTCTCCTAGTTTCTGGCCCATGACGAACTGGCTGCGCACCCGGTCGTTCATCTGCTCGGCGAGATCCATGCCTCTGTCTTCTGCTGGGGCTGTGGACGGTACAGCTGGTGACTTCGTGGGCTTGGTCGTGTGACTTGGGAGCGCGAGGGTTCTAGTCTTGGCCCCATCTTGGAACGCTGCGCCGGGCGGGTTCGGCCGTGGGCTCAGAACAGCTGGTGATGCCATGGTGAAGTCGTGCGTGTAGCGGCGTGATTGGGGTGTTGCGACGAGGATGGATGATGGATGATGTAAGATGGCGATTGCTGGCGTTAGTGGATACTCCACAGCTCTCGTGAGGTAAGCGACCCAAAGTCCATACCGCAGTCCTCCTCTTTTAGACGGTGAAGGTGGTGGGCGCGTGGTTCGCGACTGCCGTTCGCGTTCCAGGGACCGCGGCGGCGACGATGCACGTCCCCGAACATTTTGGCTTGGCCGCGCTTTTCTGCGGGGAGCTTGCCCTCACCACCGACGCCCAGCAGCTGCATTCCACACATCATGGCTACTTCGGCGCGAGGACCGCCAGGCACTGTCGCCGTCTCCAAAGAGGGAATCCCGAATCGCACGTGAGTCGACCTACATCCCAGTGCACGGCGTATATGCTGACATCAAGCAGATTATACGTGCGCAACCTTCCCGACAAGCTACAAAAAGAAGACCTTAAGCGGAACTTGTACATGCTGTTCGCGACATATGGCGTCATACTCGATGTTGTCGCGCTCAAGACCATGAAGATGCGAGGCCAGGCGCACGTTGTCTTCCGCGACGTCGATTCCTCAACACAGGCTATGCGCGCTCTACAGGGCTTCACTTTCTTTGGCAAGGACATGGTGCGTCTTCTCTCGATCCCACGAACCACGGAACTATGCTGACACTAGTCAGCAAATCGCATACGCAAAGACCAAGTCCGACACAGTAGCCAAGCTAGACGGCACCTACAAGATGCCCGAGCCGGAGCGCGAAGACGAGCCCGAACAAGCGTCTGCACAGCCCGCAGGCTTCGGTACCGCACCCGAGAAAGCAGTTCCGGTCAATGCACAAGACGCCGCCAAGGGTCAGAAGAGGGGGCGTGACGAAGAAGAGGAGGATGAGAACTCGGACGCGGAGATGGAGATGGATGTCAGCGACGACTCGGACTAGACGGTTAAGACTGTGTATGGAAGGATATGATACCCACGAGCAATGAACAGAATCAAAAGGGCACTTTAGAAGACGCGTCTATGTGTGTTATTGGAAAACGTGTATGGGGAGACACCATGACTGTTCTCGGAGTGGTGCTGACTTGATACAGACCCGATCTCAGCTTCTCTCCAACGATCGACTAGTGTACGCCACTATCGTCGTACGCTCAAGTACATCGCTATATTTATGGTAAAGCTAGGTGACCTTCGCAGAATTCTTGAGTAACTAGAGTTAAATGATAGGGCACCTAGGACCTCTTCGCTGAAGGTCTTACCACGCATCGAAAGACTATAGAAGAGCTAGACGGTGTTCAATAACCGATCACCTAGCATACTGGCCTCTGAAGTCCCACTGACAACCTCCTCGCCCCCTTCGTGCCTCAACTCTTGTACGAATACACTTAAGCATGTTTGCTCATGCAAGCCTCGAGCAGACCCAGCAGCTCAGACTTCCGCTTTCCCCCTATCCAGCTGCCGTGGATAGAATTACTAACGATTGTTCTCCATTCCTCCATACTCAAGTTGAAAGCCTCTTGCACCGCGCAATAGTTGTTCAGAATGTATCCACCAAAGTACGCTGGGTCGTCACTGTTGATACTGAATTTGACCCCTGCCTCGAGGAACGTCCTGATGGGTACTTGGCCAACGCTTTCCACAGCTTGAAGACAGACATTGCTCAGCGGACAAACCGTCAGGAGTATCTCCTCTTTCACTACCCGACCAAGTAGTTCAGCATCTTCGGTAAGACGGATACCGTGATCGATGCGCTCAGCGTGTAGTGCGTCGAGTGCACCGCTGATGTACGTCGGATCCCCCTCTTCACCCGCGTGAGCTGTTCTTCTCAACCCCCTCTTCTCACCCTCAAGATACATATCCACAAAGAGCTCCGGACGGAACCCAACCTCTGACGAGTCCAGCCCAAGACCAGTAATAGCGCGCTCCTGGCCGTCTCCACCCTGAAGATCAAAGTGCCCACTCTTGACAGCGGCTGCCATAGTCTCCGCAGCTGAACTAACAGGCATGTGCCTCAGGAAACACATGATCAGACAACTCGTTATCCCCAGCTCTTTCTCCGCTCGTTTCCTTGCAGCATTGAAACCACGTACCACGACATCAAAGTCGATGCCTCGCTCCGTGTGACTTTGTGGATCGAAGAAAACTTCTGCATGGCAGACGCCGTCTCGAGCTGCTGTTGTGAAGTATTCCCAAGCTAGCATCTCAAAGTCCTCTTCATGCACTACGACTGCGATGCCGCGGTAGTAGTACGCCAGGAAATCGTCTAGGTTCGTGAAATGCGAATACCGTTCTGTGAGTGTCGCGGGCGAAGTGTAAGCGACATCTTCAGATGGTGATGGCAGAGTGATGTTGTTCTTAGAGGCCAGAGTGAAGAGAAGGCTTGGGCTGAGGCAGCCTTCGAGATGGAGGTGGTGTTCGCATTTTGGGAGGTCCGCGAGGAAGTCGTGGGTGGCTGATTTGCACATTGTGGTTTCTTTGAGTAGGGGACTTTGCAAACTGGGGGGTTTGAATAAAAAGGTTCTCGTAAATCAGATTTCGGTCTTCTGTAAAGATTTTGATTGTAAGACTAGTTTTCGTCGGAGGCTGACGGGGATTATCGGTGTTCGCCGCTTTCTGCTGGGATGATGGAGAACCTCTAGCTAGAGGGTGGATCCTAGATTGAACTTGCAAGGCAGATGCGCTCCATGCGAACGCGTTTTACTGGCGCATGAAAATCGTGCCTGAAATGTTCATGCCGCATGGGTATATTGTCCGTCGTTTCTACATGCTAGTCTAGGTGGAAATATCTCATCGAAGCTCGCGTTTTTGCCCAGTTGCTCGCGGCTCGTACATGGTCTCCACGAACTCTTCCAGCAGACCCTCACTCTCCGCATCTTGTCGAGTGGAAGAAATCCTCCTACTTCTAGTATCGCTTACTGGCAATGTAGAGTCGCCTATCGTCCTTTCTCCATCACCGAAAGTTTTCTTGAAAACGCTATCATAGCTAACCCACATGCCCGCAAAGATCATGGCACTGAGTTTAGCTAGCCACCAAGGCGACCTTCCCTTTTTATCCTGCAGCTTCCTTCCCATCGCAAAGATGAACATGACGAAGGGCATCCAAATGCCCAGGAAGATAGCCTTTCCCATTTCTTGCTTCTTGGTCGTGATGGTATATGTGCGTATATTGTGTAGGTATTCCTGATACTCGTTTGGAAGATTACATTCCGCGGCGCCGTCGGTTATGAGCTTGAGGTATCGTGCCGAAGGCTGCGCATAGCCTGGGTCGGGGCGCTTTACGCGGTCGGTGGTTCGGACTCTGTTCTCGCTGTCGACAATGGGGGCGAAGAGCGTGTGCGCTTTGAAGGGCTTCGAATCGGGCGCGGTGGGGACTGTGTCGGAGGGCGGTAGCGCGTAGCAGTCAACCAAGATATCGTCGTAGGCGCTGCCTCCACCTTCCGTCGCAATGATGTGCGCATAGTCGGACAGCGTCACCTCGTATACAACGCCCACCAGGCCCTTGTGCCATCGATCTTTGTGGTAGTCTTGCGCGTCCGGCACCCGCAGTGCTGTGTTGGCGAAGCAGGGCTCTTTGTAGGGGATGCCAGGGAGATCGAAGGTCAATCTCAGCGAGGGAACAAGTACGTTGACCTGTGAAAGTGGACGGATACCGCGCACGCCTCGGAAGGTCTCATTGCACAGGTTCGAGCCATAGGCCAGGTACAGCACCGTTTTGGCCTTCTCTTGGGGTGTTGCAGACTGTTGCGACACGAGCTTCTCCGTGTCCAGCGGCGCGTCGGTGAGCGAGGCGTCTAGACGCGCCTGGGATGGTTGCGGTATGGCTTCAAAGACGGTCATGATGGGATTTGCTGTGTGGATGATCCATAGGTAACGGCCGTATCCGTGTCCTCATATACTGCGCGTAGTCTCGGGCACGGCGATTTCGCTGGACGTTTCGTCCGGACCCTGTCTACATCATCGATACTTGGATTTCTCATCTAACGCCGAGGGCCCGAGCACGACCCGGGAGCCTACAGTAAGCTCCCAGCCTCACACCGCACCAACAAAAGCACCCCAGCTGACTACAACGGACTAATCATCTCTATATTGACAAAGCATATGGGGCTTTGCTTCATTCAGTCATGTCGTATCCCTCGTACGCCGTACTAGCGCTGGTACCTGCTGTCGTGTGGCTGCTGTACCTCCAGATAAGCCAATGGCGCTTCAAGAGATTCGCGCACATCCCCAGTAAGCTGCCATCGAGTTTTCTCTTTGGCCATCTCGGCCATATCGCGGCAGAATACAAGAACATAAGTAGTACCGCTCATCCAGGTAGGATCTACATCCCTCTCCATGGTCACCACTAATAGCAGCCAGACTATGTGTTTGAAAACATATGGAAGGCTCAAGGCAGCCCAGAATACATGTTCTTCGATACGAGGCCTGTACAGCTTCCGCTTCTCCTCATTGCGTCCCATGCGATGGCGGAGCAGATCTCCAGAGCCAGCAAGACGCAGCAGTACAGCGTTACCAAATCCCCGACTCTTCAAGGGGGCATGGGGGACCTGATTGGGAGGTATTCCCTGATCAGCGAGAATGGCGAATCCTGGAGAGGGCTTCGCAAGACGTTCAACCCAGGCTTCGCGCCGCAGCATTTGCTTTCGTTGCTTCCTGTTATGGTTGACAAAACGCAAACGTTTATGAAAAGGCTGGACGCTTTGGCAACCTCCGGTGTCGCGGCCGAGATGGACGGGTATTGCACTGATGTCACGTTTGATATCATCGGCGGCTTAGTTACTAATATTGATTGCAAGGCCCAGGGCGACCGTGAACATGTCCATCCCATCGTCCGAGACTTCCGCACGCTGAAGAATGTATATGCTGGGGACAATGGTCTTATGGCATCCTGGTTGAACCCGGTAATGCTCGCCAAAAAATATATCTACAGCCGACGACTGGACTCGGCCGTGAAGGCGTGTGTCGTGGAGAAGTTTGCAGACATCAAGTCAGCGCGACATACGAAGGAGAAGAAAGACCGATCGGTACTTGCGCTAGCGCTGGAAGGTACTGATGAACTCACTCCTTATATCCTGCAAAGTACTGCGGATCAAATCAAATCATTCCTTTTCGCAGGGCATGATACGACCTCGATTCTCCTACAGAGGTTGTTCTACGCCCTCTCGATACACCCGGATCGCCTCGCGAAGATCCGCGCGGAGCACGATGCCGTTTTCGGTGACGCAGAACCACACGATGTATTCCTCAAACGGCCAGATGAAACTATGAAAGCGCTCAAATACACCTCTGCATGCATCAAAGAGGCTTTGCGACTGTGGCCCCCAGCAGCTTCTGCCCGAATGTCTCACAACAACTTCAAATTGAGCACCTCGGACGGAGAGGAAGTGCTTGTCGACGATTGCGTCATATACATCTGCCATCATATCATCCAACGAGACCCCAAAGTTTACGGAGAGACAGCAAATGAGTTCGTCCCCGAGCGCTGGGTCGGCGACTCGGATACAAGCAGCGCTTCTACTGAGGTCGACGGATCGACCACGGGCGATAGCAAGATCCCCATCAGCGCATGGAGAGCGTTTGAGCGAGGACCTCGTAATTGCATTGGTCAAGAACTCGCCAATATGGAAGCCCGAGTCATTCTCGCATGTGTGATGAGACGATATGACTTTGTCAAGGTTGGGCTTGGAGAGATTGAGACTGATAAAGCCGGTCAGCCTATCATGGACCAGATGGGCAAGTACAAAACCAAGTCCAAGTTGATCAACGTAAGCTATCTTATCGTCCGTCGCAGTGATTACGAGACTAACTTATGAACAGACGATGTCCATCACCTCGCGGCCTATTGATAAGACCGTCATGCGTATCAAGTTCCGCGACTCTGTGAGGAAGTAAGCCACGAATTCTGATCCTGTTTTCTCGTAGCTCTGTTTCTGAAACCTTTCGATGGTATTGGATTTCACGGCGTGATCAGAGTACATGAGTTTACCTATCTATACTGTAAATTTCGTTTTGTTCTCCTCTGCGCAATCTTGTGCGATTTTCCGCACCTCCTCTTCGCCTAGCTCTTCAAATATATCGAATCCCCATCGCGACTGCACATTGAAACGCTTGTGTCTCTCCAGCCCGCTCAGCTCATCGAATGCATCTTTCGGTAGCTCTTTGACTTGCATGTTGCTCTTGATCCTGCTGGGTGTAACACTTTTAGGCAGCACCACAGTGCCGCGCTGAATGCCCCAACTCGCAAGTAGCTGGCCGCCGTCCATGCCCAATCTTTGCCCCACTATGCCCACAAGCTCGTCGTCGACTGTGCGTGGCTCTCCCGTCTGGTTGTTTCCGAGGGGTGAATAAGCTTCGATGAGAATACCTTTGCTCTTGCAGAAGTCGAATAAGGCAGGCTGTTGGAGGTACGGGTGTGCTTCGATCTGGTTTACCGCCGGCACAACATCGGTCTTGGAAAGAAGGTCATTGAGGCGATTGACGGTGAAGTTAGATACGCCAATAGCGCGTACCTTGCCAGTGTCGAGCAGCTTCTCCATGGCCTTGTAGGTTGTGGCAGGGTCGATGTCGGCAAGGTCAAAGACGCCGCTATCACACAATGGGAACCACTTCCCTGTAGCACCGTTGAAGGCACTGTGATTATGTTAGTACATTGTGCGTGCGGCGAGACAAGATATGAACATACACAGGCCAATGCATCAAGAACAAGTCCAGGTACTCGACACCAAGGTCCTGTAACGACTTATCGAGTGCTGCCTCTACATCTTCGGGTGCATGCTTGGTGTTCCAGAGCTTGCCAGTGAGGAAGATGTCGGAGCGAGGAATACCGCTCCTCGTGATGCCATCACCCACTTCAGCTTCGTTGCGGTAGATGGCAGCGCAATCGATGTGACGGTAGCCTGCTTTGAGCGCTGTCTCGACGGCGCGCTCAACTTCACCAGGCTTTGCTTGCCATGTGCCGAAGCCCACGGCCGGTATTTGCGCGCCTGTGTTGAGGGTGAAGTGTGTGGGGAGAGGCATGGTTGCTGTAGCGTGACGCGATACTATAACGCCTAGGTGGGATCAGATGGGCGGGTTTAGGGGTATGCAGTATGATGCAGAGATAGTGTGCGATGTCTCGACAGGACGCACTGCCATCTGGTCGATATATACATCCATAGTAAATCTTCCATGACTACCTAGGTACCGAAGGCGCGAGGCTGTCGGAACACTGTCGGAACCGGAGACGGAGAAGGCATCATCAAATGACCACACCAGGGCAAGGACAGGACCCAGCGGGATGCGCGGCACTACATCCTGTGATGACCTCCAATTCGTGCAGTGGCTGGACTAAGGCATCCGGGTTCCGTCAAGTGCCTCGGGATTGCAATGGGGAGGTTGGCGAGCGGAGCTAAATTATCCGCACGGATTCTCGGAAATGTGCCCGCCTCTTTCTCACTCCGCCATGTCAAACACACCCAGCAACACGGCGGTACCACAGAAGCGGAGCCTTGATGTCGCGCCGGGCACCAGCAATACCAGGCAACGATTGGTGAAAGTCACGAGAGCATGCGATGTGTGCAAGGCGAGGAAATCAAAGTGCTCCGGCGACCAGCCGTGTGCGAGCTGTATCCGCCGGGGTCTAACATGCCAGTACGAAGCCGTCTACCTGAGAGGCAAGGTAGTCTCCCCGCGCCCTTCTGGTCCCGCCGTTGCTAGCCCTCAGCGTACCATGTCTGTTCCAGGCTATCCTCATGCTATACTTAGTGTCGCACCAAGTATGGCTGTAGGCAGCAACCATCGCGTTGGGGAAGAGACGGAGCCTCCTTCGCGAGCTTCCCCTGGACTTGAGATCGCAGCTGGGCAGTACTCTGACTCAACGTCTGGTCTCTCATTCTTGAGTCGTGCATGGCGGCGCATCTCCAACAAAGAAAGCAGTCAAGTCGTGATAGGCTCCAACGAAGACCGCCAACTACTCATGAGTGCTGGTGACAAGCCCTTCCTGGAGAGTGGCCAACCGCAGATGCCATCCCTGGACCGTAGTCGCCAGCTTCTTCATCTATATTTTGATGTGTGCATTGCGACATATCGGCTGTTACACAGACCAACTGTTGAATGTTGGTTAGAAACTGTGTCTAAGAACGCAGAACTCAACCAAACCCTCTTTCATGGTATGTATCACTCTGATTGAAGACCCTTTTTAATTTTACTTACAATACCTCTTGTTGTAGATATTGGTCGTGCTAAAACTGCAGTGGTCCTGTCTGTACTAGCCATTGCCTCGTTTCATGAAGAAAAGACGAGCAGCGAAAGTGGTCCTTCACCAGCACCTCAAGCCGACATGCAGTCACAGAGTGACATGCTTTTTTCTGAGGCATCTCGACTTACACAATCCGAGACTGGTATTCCAAAGCTTGAGTCAGCTCAATGCAGGCTTATACAGGTCCTGTACCTTCTCATGTCATGTCGCTTCAACCAAGCGTGGTATACGTTTGGCCATGCCCTACAGATTATTTCAGCGTTGGGTTTGCATCGCAGAGACGATCGTAAACGTCAAGCTAATGCCCCCAAACGCGACTACATAGGTGAACAGTGTAGAAAGCGCACATTTTGGGTGGCTTATACGCTGGACAAATATCTTGGTGTCATATTCGGGCGGCCCAGACACTACCACGATGAAGATATCGACCAAGATTTCCCCGACGCTGTCAATGACGAAGACATGACCAGCACCGGTCCAAACACTACGAACACAGACGACTGTCACATAGAATCGCTCGTGTATCATGCGCGGCTGGCACAAATTGCTGAAAAGATATCCCGAGAGGTGTATTCGATCAAACCAGTACGTTAGCAAATCACACCCTCCAGCTCAACCTACTGATCAATCCGTTATCAGGTGCCGGATCAGGTCCGACTTGCAGCCTCTCATCGCCTTGGGGCAGAGTTGCGCCAGTGGAAAGCATCGCTACCACCCTTCCTTGGCGCCGTCAACCCTAGCAGTCTCATTCCTACGTTCCGACGGCAGGCAACCGCACTCAAACTGTCATACTGTCATGCTGTAATTCTAGCCCATCGCCCGTTTCTCCTCAAGAATGCCAGGCGTAGCAATGTAGAGATGACTAGTCTTGCCCAAGACAGTCTCACAGAGTGCATTGCAGCGGCAAGATCAGTGTTGGAAGCAGTTGATCGTATGGCGCGGGAAGGTCGGCTGTTCCATGCGTTTTGGTGGACCCACTACGTCTGTTTCTGTGCTTTGGTAGTGGTCTATGTGTGGGCTATTCAACAGAGTACCCATGCCACAGCTTCAGCTGAGGATCCTCGCGGTATCCTAGATCAAGCCGAGAGCTGTTTGCAACATCTCGCCCAGGCAACAGCGTCGAACTCGCCCTCGCGACGATACAGCATCATCCTGCAGGAACTCCGCACAGAAGCAAAGAGAAAAACAGCCATACCACATCGGGAGCCAGTACTAGCATCATCAGCTGCCGTCAATGGCGGAATCCCACCGCCTTTGGATGGAGATGCGATACAGGAACCGGATTTGCAAAACTGGCAGCCACTTTTTGGTAGCCCGATGGACATGACCACGCCAGGGTTGCAGAACTTTCTCGATGACTGGCAGACGACTGACTGGCTTGACCTCGATGCCTCTGCTTTCGGTCCTTTTCCCGAAGTGGACGATATATCAGTCTGGGTCAATAACGCATCGTGATGGCTTATGTGTTCCTGGAGTTCACGGACGCGAGACGGAAGATTGATGTTGAAGTATACAACACACTCAAGGTTATCACATTTGTCAAACAGAAGATATGTATATCTTCAGGGTAAATTTTAATATTGAATTGACCGTAGAATACCCGCGGTCACTGAGCTCACGAGAAAGCTCCGCGGAACTCGATGCTCGGTCTACGTGCGGCATCGATCCTTCGGCCGCTATCGAACGTTTGCAACTAAAGCTGATGACCTTGCTTTACAGAGTGTACCGGAATAACGGCGACTTGTCTCCCATGTTCAAGAGCTCCTGGTCCGTGTACTTCGCCCGAATCTCGTCTTCACTAAGCTTCGCCTTCTTCGCGTTGCCCCACTTGTACGACAGCTCCAGAAGGAAAGCGACAATAAAACCGGTCACACCAAACGCGAGCGACAGTCCGAAGCCAGTGTAGTACTTGGGCTTCTCGCTCTCCAGGTACATGTAACTGCCGATGACGCCACCGATGTTACCGACGCAGATGTTGAAAGCAACGCCGATAGCACGACGGGACGATGGAGCAAGGTTGTTGGCTGCCCAACTACTTCCGGCCGGCTGAATGGGGTAGATGCCCATACACGTCAGGATGATAGCGAAGAATGCCGGGCCGATGTTGCCACCCAGATCACCATCGAATGAGATGACTACGGCGTACCCGATGAAGATGAAGGAGAGAGGGATGGCAACGAACGGCAAACGCCAGTAAAACCTGTCCGAGAGCTTCGCAAAGAAGATGGAGCTCAAAGCACCAGCCACATATGGTGGAACCGTCATCAGCTGGGCGTTAGTGTTGTTGAAACCCATACTCTTTGTGATGGTAGGCAAGGTGAACTTGGTCCCTGCGTACAGTTAGCCAGTGTCTGGTCGTGTTGCGAGTTACACATACCATATGAGCATGCCGATATGCAAAGCAGGATGTATGCTTGCATATAGAGGCGCCAGTTGCATAGCACGGCTTTCAAGTCGCTCCACTTGAAGCCCTCCTTTTGCTCCTCTCCAAATCTTCCGCCGTCTTTGATGAATCGTTGGAGTTCGAGGAAGCGGATCTCGTCGGGTTTCAACCACCGTCCGCTCAACGCAGGAGAGTCGATCAGGAGGAAGAAGCACGATACACCGAGGGCGACGGTGACAATCCCCTCCAAGATGAATATCCATCTCCAGCCTTCATAACCCCCGACACCATCCATCTTGGCGATGGCCGCAGCAAGCAGACCACTGAACGCCCCAGATAATGCCGAAGCACAGTAGAAGTACGAGATCCTCGTCGCAAGGTCCTTTGGCATGTACCAGTAAGAGCAGAGATAAATCGCGCCTGGGAAGAATCCAGCTCTGTATCTCGTCAGCACAGAAACATCACGCTGTGGCGTAAACTTACTCGAACACCCCGAGAAGGATTCTTGTAATCAGTAAACCGACGAAGCCTATCACGACACCCATCATGGTCATGATGATACCCCAACAGACGATGAGTATGCCGAGATAGTACGATGGACGCTTGAACTTCTTCAAGAGAATGTTGGATGGAACTTCAAGAAGAATGTACGGCACGAAGAACACTGATAACACGATGTTCCATTGCACACCGTCAAGACCCAGGTCTGTGACCATGCCCTCAATCTTCGCATTGCCGATGTTCGCTCGATCGATGTGGGAGATGAGGTAAAGGACTGCAAGCATCGGCACCAAGCGAATGTCGACCTACAAATGATCAGCGGGTCACTCGACGCACAGCATCGGCGGTTTCCTTACCTTGTGGATTACTCTTTTCCTTTTCTCTTCCGTGTAGTTGATGTAAAAGTCCGCATCTTCAGGTGCCAGACCCAAAACTTGGAAGTTGTCGATCTTGACGATCTGATGCGGCTTGGATGAATCGATGGAGTCTGCCTTTTCATCGATGTATTGGATTTCGTGTTTGTCCATTGATGGAGACATTGCGATGAATAGAAAAGAGGAATGAAGTATACCAGGTTGACGCGAAACCCGGGATGCGATGATTATCAGCAATGTCGGATGCCACAAGCTTTATACACATGACACTGGTCGCGGCACACCATGGTGATGGCGGTTGGATTGCGGAGAAACATGTGGCACCCCGGTTTTTCGGTTTCCTGGAGAAAGCTAGTTGCGGGGAAAGTAGTTCTTGCACCAAGCCCGATCACGACAATCATCTAATCAGCTCCCTCGCGGATGGTTTTCCGAAGCTAACGAGAATCCGGTCAAATCAAAAGCGTTTCCGCCCCTCGGATGTATGCAGGTATGCAAGTCTCCACCTCACCCCAACGTTGTGGTC